CTGCAGGAGGAAGCCCCTCACTAGACCCCACCCGGGCCATTCACCTGATGCTCAGAAAGCCCCAAGAATACCTCTCGGCCAAGGTTCCGGGAGCCAAAGTCCACGGCCACTGAGTCCTGCAAAGTGTCCAGGGAAGCAGACAGACAGATGCACGGAGGATGGGCACAGAGCATGCCAGACCCTGTCCACCTTTACCTATGGGACATGACTCTTCTCGCCCCCCACAAGACCGCCATTGTCTCAGGATTTCGGGTTCCTCCAGTGGCACGTGGGCTTGAGGTCTTGCTTTGTCCTTAACCAGCTGTGTGACTTTGGTTAACCCCTTCCCCTCCGGGGACATCAGACTTCCACCTCTACAGTGAGGAGTCCTGTGTGATTCTGTGTCTCTCCTGGTCTTCGTCAACCTTCAAAGCCAACGATACCCAGCTGTGTGACTTTGGTTAACCCCTTCCCCTCCTGGGACATCAGACTTCCAACTCTACAGTGAGGAGTCCTTTTAGGGGGTGGCACTGTGTGGTTCTGTGACTCTCTTGGTCTTCGTCAACCTTCAAAGCCAACGATGCCCTCACAAGGATGCTCCTCGGCATCCCCCAACTGTCCACCCTGCCCCTCCCCTGGAAGGCCCCTACACTGGCCAGCTTTCTACCTCCTGCCCGCCCACCTCTCAAACCTTAGCTGTCCCGTCCCCAAGGCCTTGCCAAGTAGCTAACCAACCATTCACACAACCTAGGATGACCAGAGCGGAGGGGGGACAGGAGGCCAGAGCAGCCTGGTGCAGCGCCCCTGCTGGAAGCCAGCAGCACTGGACAGGCCTGGCCTTTTGGCTCCTAGTGGGGATTCGCCCCCACGGTGTATGCCACAGAAAGAGCTGTAGGCTCCCCATCCCTCTGAATCCCTCAGAATAGGGCTGATCTCTAAAAAAAGAGAGCATGTGGGGTAGGAATGGCAACTCAGAAAACCCCTCCCCAGCTCACGAGAGACAGACCTTGAAAGCTTAAAGGAGGGCGAGCGGGAAAGGAGGACGGACCAGGGCACGTTCGCCGCCTTGGAGGCGACAGTGGGGCGTCGGCCGCCGGTGAGGGCGCGCGGGCCCTTATGCTGGAGCGACGACGCATCGCATGTGTGCAGCCTGCGCCAAGTGTCAGCCGCCTGGCGCAGCGTCCCCATCCCGTTCCCGAAAACCAAAGGCACCCTTCCAGAGAAGAGAAAGGAGGCAGCCTCATCATTAATAGCGCTGGCGGCAAGGTAAGGCCGCCCGCCCGCTCCCGCGCGCCCTCGCCCGTAATTATGCCGGCGAGGCTTTCATCCCCACGCGCGCGTGCGCGCGCTGAAAGTTTATTGTTGTATCCAGGCCTTTTTACAGTCTCCTCCGCCTTTTATGCAAGGGGAAGGGTGCTGAGGGGTCAAAGCATCCTCCCCCAGCTCCTCTCCCTGCTTCAGTCCTTTTAGAAAAACACCCAAAGCCATAATTTGTCTTAGAATTTCTTTTGAAACAGCTACAAGAAAGACTAACGACTGCTCTTTTCCCTCTGTTTCTGATTCCAGCCATGCCTTTATCTGGCTTTCATTAGAGCCTCGGCCGCGCCTTTTGTGGGAGAGACTTGAGGGAGCCTAGGCAGTTTCCAGCCGCTGTGATGTTGCTAAAGATTAAAAAGCAGCTTTGAAGCCGCACCAGTTCTCTGTGCGCCCCCTCCGTACAGGACCTCAGAAAGACCCAAGCCATCTGGCAAACCTGACATAAAGACAAAATAAAGTGATTGAAACAGTCTCTTCAAAGCCACAATGGCAGATTTGTTGATTTGGGCGTTATCTTTCATGCGAAGCCCTCAGAAGTCACCAGAACACCTAGGTAATCTCAGGCAGGTCTGACTGGAGTGGATGGAGCCTTCTAGGCCAAGGCTCAGTCGGAGAGGGGCCCTGGTTGTACCTGGCGGGGCTCAGGGATGGACGGAAGGCCGCTGAAGATGGGGCTCGGGGAAACTTGACAATTGGACCTGGAGCCAGGCCCTGGCAAAGGTTTATGGCGAGGCCCGCTCATCCCGGCTCCCGCCTGGTGTCCCACCTCAGCAGGAGCGCCTGCCACCAGCCAGACAGAGTCGGGAGGGGAAGCCTCTGCGAGTCTGCCCTGAGCAGGAGGGAGTGGCGGGAGATGAAAGGCCGCTGCCCTAATTGCAACCGACAGCCCATTAGTAACGCCCTGGCAGCCTCCATATCAGAACCTGCTTCTCACGGCTCCCGGCTGGGCAAGACCTAGGCAGATGGCCGTCTGCCGGTGCTCATGGGAGGGTCACTCTTGGCCAACTGAGCCCGGGACAAGTGGAGGTCTGGGAGAAACAGAACCAGAGGCAGCTCTGACTCAGTCCTGTGTTAACGCCTGCCTGACGCCCATACAGCCTGGAGCCTGGCTCTCTCCGGCCCTCAGCGTGCCCGTCTGCAAAGGGGAAGGGGCCTAGGCTCGTGGGCAGACTGCTGGGTAGCAGTGCCCAGAGATCAAGGCCTGGGTCACGGGCGCACCATCGGCCTGGATGGAGAGCCTGGAGGAGGTGCCACCAGGCTCCTTAGAGCCAGTACGACAGCTAAACAGACCTCCCACACACACTGAGTTTCAGTCCAGGAATTTGGGGACACCACCCCACACACCTAGGAGAGAGGCGACTTCAGACCAAGCATTCTCTCGGTGCCTCAGTTGTCCTAATGGTAAAATTGGGGAGTTGGAGTGCGATATTCAGGTGCTGGGGAGAATTGTGTTCCATGAACAGTTCTGAGGGGGCCCAGGTGGGGTCAAGGGGTCTAAGCGAGTCATCCTGTGGGTCCCCCACCTCCCTCCAAATGAGCTTCTCTGCTCGCTTCTGTCTCACTCACTGGGCTTCCGGCAAAACCTCCAGGCTCGTTTGAAGGTTCTGCTGATTAAAACATACAATTTAATAGCCGCAGGTCCAGGGGGGCGGTCTCTGCTCCTTCCTCCGACCTCCCTGAATCTGTGATACCAACCAGACTTGACGAGCTACACTAAGAGATCATTTCATTCTACCCAGCTTTCATGAGACGACGAACTCACAAGTGTGACCACCGATCAGCCACCAAGAACCCATGGAACACCTACTCTGCATTCCCATCCAGCAGAACGCAACACCCGCTTGTCCCCCTAAAGACATCTAAGGGATATCGCACTCATGGAGGACATGATGAATCAGAAAGAGAAGGCCACTTGTCACAGGCCTGAGGGACAGCTCACCCATTTCCACCTGTCTGTGCCTCCTCCCTCTGGCCATAAGCAGGACCAGGAGGCCAGCTCCTCCTGTCCTGGCTCTTCTGAGGGCCCGAAGAGGAAATCTCATCACAGCTGGCCCCCAACCACCCTTCCTTCCTCCTAGAAGGACAGCTGGCCCCGCGCCGGGGTGGGAGGCTCCCCGCAGAGCTTTCCTGGCTTCTTGGCAGTGATGCGCCAGCATGAGATTAGGCTTTTATCTGTATGCCCTCCCAAAGGGAGGGAGGAAGTCCGGGTCCTGGAAAGGCAGAGCCACAGAAGGGCACATGTGGGAGGGGGCAGCAGCCCACCAACCCCTGAAAGGAATCTTCCAGGTGGACAATTTGTCCCTCCTTTTCTAACCATGCCTCCCCATCTTCTCTGTCTGGTGAACGAACTCCTACTCATCCTTCAAAACCCATCTCCGATGTCGCTCCTTCTTCAAAGTTTTTCTGAGCGTCCGTCTCCCTCGGTTCACGTGCCATTTCACACACGCCCGTCTTGAGTAGCTGTGAAATTAAGTGACAATAATTTTTCCAGGAAGAGGGCACGTGTTTGGAAATCAAAAGACCACAGTTCAAATGCCGGCTACCTTATTCACCAGCTATGAGGACTTAGACAGGTCACTTGGCTTCTCTGAGCCCGAATTTCCTCATTTGCAAAGCAGAGAAACTAAAACGACCTAGGGTTTTTCTGAGGATCAAATAAGGAAACATACATGAAAGAGCCTAAAATTATGTCTGACGCAGAGAGGCGCTCAAGAGACGTGAACTTCATTCCTTCCCTAGCAGCGTGTGACCTTCTCAAGGGAAGGAATTCGCTCATTCATTCATTCACTCATTCATTCATTTATTCATTCAACTAACATCACTGAGCTTCTGTCGAGAAGCAAGCCCTGAGCCAGAAGCCAGGTTCTACAGCAGGTCACAAGGCAGACGCTGTCCAGGTGCCCCTAAACGCCCCAGCTGGCCTTCCTCACCCGTGTATCTCCAGCACTCACTTTGGCTGACGCTGTCCCCACCCTTCCCAGGTGGGGCAGGGCTACAGAGTCCGGGCTGAACATTGCCTGCTCCCCAGGATCGTCCACAGGCCTCTCTCCTGCACGAGGCATCCTCTGTCAGCAGAGCCTTGTCTGAACTCTCTGGGAGGACGGCGTGAAAAGATGCCATCATCCCTGGGGATGACAGACACATAGTTCTCAGTCTTAAGAACTCCCCATCCAATGGGACAGTCACGTTTTCTGGAGTTGAGGAACTCTTAGTCTGGGAGCGGATAGCAGAGTCACATTTTCCCCGATACTTAATTTGATGGGAAAGACACATTTACTTCGATTGTGAAATTCCCAGTCTCATGGAAGAGACACGTGGCTCCTGTTCTTGGCCCAGTCTATCACCGATGGGGGGGAGATTGTTCCTGTCACATGAGGGTGCCTCCTCTGATGGGAGAGGCAGTCTGCGCCCACAGATAGCTTGAGAGTCAGATAAAACAACATGTATGGAAAAAAGAGATCAATCCAGAGTTCCTTTGAAAAACTAGCTGTGCAGTGCCTCTGTCTGTTTGTAGACTCAGAAGTGATATTTCTAGCTCTGTAGGTGCACCATCCTAATCCACAGGGCTGGACGCAAATGACACAGAATCATCCACCTCACAAACAACCAGTCAAGCTCCCTCACCAGAGAATGCAAGCCAGAGCTGGCCGGAGGCCCCCATCGCTGGCATCTAGTGCCAGCCTTGCCAGAGGAGGCTTTCTCACGATCAGGGACATCTGGGCTGGCCCAGCTCCCAGAGGCCACCGACATGAAAAGCAAGGGGCCCGGCGGAAACACCATCTGCACATCATAAGGCAGCTTGGTGGTTCCCAGAGGCTGCCTCCAGCTGCGGCAGGGATGCCCGGAAAAGCAGAGGAAGACACCAAATGGCTGGGAGGGGGAGAGAGGGAAGGATGGCAGAGAGGGTAGAGCTGGACTAGAGTTCTTCCACTTAGCACCCTACGCCCTGGAAACTAAAGTCACCTGGTTTGTCTCCATGGCATTGCTCGGGACCACAGCTGTCCTAGTGGTAAAAAAGGCACAGGTGATGCCTATTCCAGAAGGTGACTTGGTCACAAGAGCAGGATACAGTAGTGGTTATGCACGCAGATCGAAAGTCGCATTGCCTGGGGTCAAATCCTGGGTCCACTTCTTTGGCGAGTGGATAGACTTCACTAAGCCTGTTTTCAGACCTGTACGTTGGAGACGATCAGAATCACATTCCACGTCTTGGGGTTGCTGTGAGAATTAAACGAAGTAATAAACGTTTTGAGCTGTACACTTAAGTTTTGTGCGCTTGTTATACTTCAATAAAATTTCATTATGAAAGAGTTAATTTGCATCCTGCGCCTAATTTAGAGAAGTACTCAGGCACTTTTGGCTCTTATTATCATTATCAACTTCCCTCTGAGACGCTTTCCCGAGGCTCTTAGAGCAGGCACCTGTAGGGTCTGGAGCCCTCGAGGCTATTTCATTGGCCACCCTTCCCAAGGCCCCGCCTCCCACACCACGGCCACAGCTGATTGGACAAGGGGAACCGTGGCCCAAGGAATGCTCATCTATTGGTGGTTGAGCAGAGTGAGGTCTGCGGATGGACGATCATGTCGGAAGGTGAAGAAGCAAAGGAAGGAGGCAGAGAGGAGCAGAAGAGGCGGAAAGCTGAGAGTGGCAGAGGTGAAGGAAGCACAAGGTCCCTGAGAGACAGGAGGACGCGAGAGTGGGCGAGGAGGCCTCCGATCCCAGGTTTTGGGTCCCCATGTGAGTTCGGTACCATAGATCCTGGGAGGCTGTGAGTCCTGCCCAGAAGCTCAACACGCATACACACGAGCACACATACCACATGGCACACACACCACACCCATCCTGCAAACACTGACACACTCCTTTTTATACTTTCCTTACAATTCCTACCCACATCTGAAAAACTTCCAGCACGGTGAATCCCCAGGGAGACTAATGTTGTTGCGTGGGTGCAGTAGCTAAGACACCCAGAGAGGAACAGTTCTGGGCAATAGAATTTGGGGGGAGGGTAGGGAGAGAAGATAGGGGACGGCCAGCTGTAGGAGAAAAAAATACAGGTGCACGGAGAGGTCTCATGGGGAACTTCATAAAGTGTCTGAACTGTGGCGTGTGATCCTTACAGCAAAACTGCATTAAAGTCACATCGCTCGCCACCTCTCGGTTCTACTCACCTCCATGTCGGCACCATTTTTGGAGGGTTTGCCCTTCATGGCTGGCAAGACAGCTGCCAGCATCTTCCAGGGCTGCATCACCCCTTAACCACAGTCAACAAGAGGATTCCTAGTCTTGGCTTGGGCTCCCCCAGAAGCAGAGCCTGAGACAAGGATTTGACTATGATGATTTATTGGGAAACCATCACAGGAAACTCTGGTAGGAGAACAGGGAAATGAGCCAGGGAAGGGAATGTAGCCAGCAAAGGGTGTGTTACCTCTGTGGGCATCCAGAGCCTAATCTCACAGGGGAACTGTAAGAGACAGGGTAGAGGAAGGGTTGAACGACAAGAAGGATCCAGCCGTGTCAAGTGTGGGAACAGCATTCCAGAATAAGGGAACAGCACATATGAAGGCCCTGCATGGCAGAAGAATGTGGCATGTTTGGGGGACTAACATTAGGCAAATCAGGTCTGTAATGAGTAAAAGCGGACTGTGGCACAAGGTTGGGTCAGAGAGGAGGGCCTGGGGCCAGGTCGCACAGAGCCTTGTCGGCCCGGGACGAGACCTCAGGTTTTGTGAGTGTGAAGGGGGCCACCGAAGGGTTGCGAACAGGACAATGACATGATCTCAGCTCACCTGTGTTTGTAAGGTCACTCTGGCTGTCGTAGGGAGAGTGGACTGAGAGAGGAGGCAAGTGGAAGCTGGGACACATGGCAGCTCTTGCTAAGTCAAAGTCAATGTCAGGGAGCTGTTTCCTTCTGATGGGGGCATCTGGGAAGGCTTTGAGGAGGAGATCTTAACCCCAGGGAAAGCCAAATGGGCAGGAATGAAGAAGAAGGCTGCCTTCCCCACTCCCAACTTTCTCCTCCTGAATAAAGAGAAAACTTCTGTTTTTCCTTTTGCTGCCTCAGAAACTAGAAAGAGGTGGCCATTCATCCATCAGTGCCTTTCCAAACACCTACAGCAGAGTTAAACAGCAGTTACAGTGAACCATCGGCAGCAGATAACTCAATGACATTGTAAAATTTGGCATGAATAGATCTGGCTGAGCCTCACAAATTTTCTCCCGGGGCTGACGATGTCAGCAATTCCAGCCTGATCCCCGCTGGCCTCTGAAAGACAAGATCATCAGATAGAGAGGCAGAAAAACCTTCCTGGTTACACTTCCCAGAGCAAATGGGCACATCAGCCTCTGGGTGAGCAGCGCGAGTGTCAGACAAGCCAGTCAGAATGAGGCTGGTAAGAAAGAGCCACTCTGTAAACTCTTTATCAGTGACCAGTCTCACGAAGGACAAGAGTTCGCATTTTGTGAAACGCGGTGTGTGCGTTAAATACCACGTTTCTGTTTCTGTTCAACTAGTTTTGCCTGCCAGGCAGGTTCGCAGGGTGACACATCTCAGGGCTCCAATCACCTCGAAACAGGCACTCGTCCTTCCTCTTGGTCACATCCTCCTCTCAATACGGTCTCGCAACGGTAGTCCCCTCAAGGTAGGCAGAGAAACCGAGTTGAGAAAGGTCTTGTTTTGATTCTTACTTCTTGCTTTGCCTATCCAGCACCCATTCTCCAATCTTGCAGTGACAGCACCCTAATTTTTCTTGAGGATCTCAACTTAGGCAACATGGTTTAAGTGGTACCAGCCTCCCATCAAGCTCCAAGGGTTCTACGGCCATGCCACCCTGAATGTGCCCGATCCTGTCTGATCTCGGAAGCTAAGCAGGGTCGGGCCTGGTTAGTACTTGGATGGGAGACCACCTAGGAAGACCAGGTGCTGTAGGCCTTAAAAAAAATAAAAATAAAAATAAAAAACCGCTCCAGGGGTAGACTCGTGGTTTGGTTTGTCCCTGAATTCTACATCATCATGGTTCAGGGTTGGCACACGATCTAAATCAGTACCATCATATAACTCCATGACTTTTGCTGGATCTATGAGGATGTCAGCCTGGAGCTTCTGGAGGCCACCGGAGCCTGTCTGAGTATAGGACCAATGCAGAGGAAGCAGAGCCAAGAGATAGCGAGAGAAAGCCCGACTCTTATGACATCATTTGAGCTCCCGGTTATAGCCATATCTGGCGCTCGGCCTCGTTATGGGTGGGTCTCTGACACCACCGAACAAAGGCATTCTGACTCTCATGGAGGCTGAGCAATTCGATGATGAAGACCAGGCATCGTGATTCCCAGTCCGGTGCCCTTACCCTGTATTGTGTTCCCGATGATTTTATCCAACCTCGCAATCAAACTGGAGTGATCTCTGTGGCTTTATGGTCTGCAAAAAGATGGATATTTTAAAAATAAAAACATCTGATCATAACAGCGTTTTGTCTAACCGAATCACAGAGTCATGGGAGGGTCCCCCAAGATCATACCACTGAGTGGTTTTCAAAGATTTTTTTTTTTTTGCAACTCCTTGTTTCAGATGAGGTCTTAAGCAGAGCTCCTACATATAAGAAACAAAAGCTCTATCTTTTTATCTTTATAAAAAGTAGATGCTAAAATTTAACTTAAAAGCTCTATCTTTTAAGTTAAGTTTTAGCATCTACTTTGTATAATCAATGAAGACCCGAATTTTAATGTATTTGTTTCCAAGGTATAAAAAATGGTTATACACGGTCTATGGCTATGCCACCCTGAACAAGCCCGATGCTGTCTGATTTTTGGAAGCTAAGCAGGATTGGGCCTGGTTAGTACTTAGATGGGAGACCACCTAGGAAGACCAGGTGCTGTAGGCGTAAAAAATAAAAAATAAGGGATTGTAAACTGACAAGGTCCTTGCAATCTGTGAGGTCAACCAAGGGTTGCCTTGCCTAAAAAAAAATGGCTATACAGGAAATGGATAGAAAAAAATCAATGAAACTAAAAGCTGTTTCTTTGAAAAGATAATAAAAATCAATAAGCCTCTAGCCAGGCTAAGAAAAAAAGAGAGAGGGTACAAATTACTAATATGAGAAATGAAAGCTGAGACATCACTAGAAAATCTGCAGGCATTAAAGGATGATAAAGGAATATTTCCAATAACTCTGTGCCCACAAATTTGATAACCTAGATGAAACAGACCAAGTCCTTGAAAGATACAACAAGCCAAACTCACACAAGAAATAGACCATCTGAATAGGCCTAAATTTATTAAAGAAATTGAATCAATAATTAATAACCTTTCGAAACAGAAGGCACCAGGCCAGTAGGTTCACCAGCAAAATCTATCAAATAGTTAAAGAAGAAATTATACCAATTTTCTACAACCTCTTTCAGAGAGTGAAAGCAGAGGAAATACTTTCTAACTCGTTCTATGAGGCCAACATCACCCTAGTACTAAAACGAGACAACCGCATTACAAGTAAAGGAAACTACAGACCAGTATGTCTCATGAACACAGCTATAAAAATCCTAAACAAAATATAGCAAATAGTAATCTAGTAATGTATGAAAGAATTATACACCATGAGCAAGTGGGATTTATCCCAGGCATGCAAAGTTGGTTCAGCATTCAAAATCAATTAATGTAATCCATCACACCAGCAGATTAAAGAAAAAAAAATCACATGATCATGTCAATAGTTGCTGAAAAAACATTTGACGAAATTCAACACCCATTCATGATTTTTTAAAATCTCTCAATAAACTAGGACTAGAGAGGAACGTCCTCATCTCGATAAAGAATATCTACAAAAAACCTACAGCGAACACCATACTTAATGGTGAGAAACTCGAAGCTTTCCTTCCAAGATCAAGTCAAAGCGAGGATGTCCCTTCTCACCACCACTTTTCAACACCACTAGCCAATGCAATAAGACAAGAAAAGGAAATACACATTAGGAAGGAAGAAATAAAACTGTCTTTGTTCGCAGACTACCTGATTATCTATGTAGACAATCTGAAAGAATCAATAAAAAACAAATGGGGAACCAATAAATGATTATAGCAAGGTTGCAGGATACAGGTTACTATAGAGAAGCCAATCATTTTCCTGTACACTAGCAATGGATAAGTGGAACAGATTCCCATCAACCTAGGAAGTTCTGCTTCTAGAGCACCCAACTTAAGACTCATCCTCTGGGTCAGTGTGGCTTCCTCGGGGGGAGAGGCTTTGCTTGAACCCCCAGGCTGACTCAGCGTCCTGTCATAACAGCACCTTGTTTTCCTTGGTAACAATTTTTACAACTGCAATTAAATAATTATCTGTGCAATTTCCTGTTTAATGTGCCTCTCCCTCACCAGACTGCAAGCTCCACGAGGAGAGGACCACATCTCTCTTGCTCCCACTAGGTTCCAGCACCAAGCACAGCACCTGGCACAGCACTGGGCATTCAACAAAATTAGATGAAGGAAGGAAAAAAGGGAGACAATTAGATCGAGGTTTCCAGGTTTATCTTTGTTACAGCAGAATCTGAGTCCAAATGACTTTTGGCATTGTCAGCAGTGGGCACTGTGGCTTCGACCCGCAGCCCTCCAGCAAGCAGCTCCTAGGCCCTGAGGGCAGACACAGCTCAGGATCCCACATGGACAGCTGCCATCTGCTGCCTCTCTTTTGTTCACTCAGAGGCAGGCGGCTGAGGCAGCTCCGCCTGCGACCCTGAGCAACCCTGGAAGCTGCACTGTTGACAGCCTGTCACAGCGAATCACCTCGGGCCGCTGCATCCCCAAAGAGCTGCCCACTGAACCATCCCTGGTCCCCCTGGGGGCCCCTCCCTGCAATACTAACAGGCTGGTGCCAGGGTGGCCTGTCTGTGCTGCCAATCCGGGGCATCTACTATAGCTGCTGGGGGCCTGGGCTTGAGAAATGTCATCTCCCGCCTCTTCCTCCGGTGACAGAGGGCAGGGACCCACAGAGAACCCCGGAGAATGGGCTCTTTCCCACTCCCTTTCTATTTTTTCACACTTGGACAAGAAGCCTCTTCACTCTTCACTTCCTTGGCCCTCATGCCAACCACACAGCCTGCACGGGGCCGGTGCTGCCCACTCCTCAGAGGGGAAAACTGAGGTTCAGGCAAAAGAAGACAAGAGAAGTGAGTAGCCCAGGGACAGCTGGCCTTGGGAGTGCCTCGCCCGGCCTCGCTGCTGTAGGAGGGGGCTCTGAGGAACATAGCAGGGCAGAGGTGAGAGTCTCAAAACCCTGGGTGTTCATGGCTTTTTACCTGTCTGGACCATGGGGTCAGCTCCCCGTAAGCCTCTTTCATCTGTTGGCTGTAAGGGGATACCTGTAAAGGGTCCTCACTGGCTCTCCCAGCACTGCCCCGAACAGGGGAGGCCATACTCTACCGCCAGGGTCAGGTGTCCAGGACATTAGCTGTGTCCCACAGCCTCTTTTCATGAGAGCCCTGAGGTCTGGAGGCCCAGCTGTGATGGCAGCCTGGCACACTTAAGAGTCATGAGTTCGCTAAGGGCCTGGCCTGCCCTAGCCTCAGGCGCCCGGGCAACGAGTCCTTTGCTGAGAGGTCTGGGCAGAGGCTGTTTCCTGGGAATGCCACACCCCCCAGTGGCCAGCCTTCCTCAGTACCTCTCTCCTCCTCCTCCTCAGACTCTCTCAGAGGCCACCAGTCACTTCCTATCCCCAACCAAAAAACCCTCAGAAGAGGAAGGTGAGAGGAAATCATCATCGCAAAACAGTAATAATTATTCATTCATTCATCCAACAAATATGTCTTGAGGGACTGCGCTGAGCCCAGCTCTGTGCCTTGGCTGAAGGCTGCCCTGTTTCTTGTATGTGGGCCTCTCCAACATGGCAGCTAGTGTCACCAAAGCATACGAGCAAGAATAGAGATGGCTAGCAAGATAGAAGTCACAATCTTATGCGACTGAATCACAGAAGTGACATCTCGTCACCTTTGCCATATTCCGTTGGTCAGAAGCAAGTCTCTAGGCCACTCCACACTCAGTCCGAGGACATGAATATCAGGAGGTGGGAATCTTTAGTGGTCATTTGAGAGTCTGACTGACACAGCATGATTCGGTTCAATGAGTATTTTTCTGGTGCCTTGCACGTGCCAGGCACTGTCCTGGAGTTGGAAATAAAAAATTAGATGAGTTAGGGTTTCTATCTCCCAGGAACTTTTTCTAGGCATTTCCCGCTTCATGCTCTTACTCATTTTTCATGGCTGTGAACACTTTGGGACCTATATAGGATCTCTGCTGAGGGGAAGAGGAAAATTACTCAGGCCATAGGGTGAATGTGTCCACTGAACCCTTTTCTTCCAACCCAGAGGGAAGAGAGTGCGCTAGCTTAGAGGGGCATTTGCACAATAGTGGTCACTGCTCTGGGTGCTGTGGATACCACGGGGTAGAGGCTAGACCCCACCCTGGGGGCGTACACTGGAGAACTGGGAGCACACAGGTAAAGTCACAGGTTCAGCCTGGAGTGAGGCATGCCGCAGTGGAGGGAGCCCAGCCCCTCAGGGAGATTGGCATCGCAGTTCTAAAGCACAAAGACTTATAGCCGACAGCTGGAAAGCCGAAACCAAGCTTCGCCCTATACTTGGAGGCCTTCACATATCGGCACATACGATTTTTTTTTTTTTTTTAAAGATCGGAATCCCTCAGTTACCAATATGCTGGGTTTGCTGGATCTGGCACCCAGTATCGGGCTCAAACAATAGTGTTTAAAGGAGGACAGAAGCAAGGGAAAGTGGAATAGAAGGGAGGAGTCAGGGAAAGAAGAGTGAGAAAAAGAAAAGGGAAGCAGGGGGGCTGAAAGGGGGGGAGGGAGGAAGGGGAAAAACAGACGGGACGAAGAGGGGAGAAGCAGGGAAGAGAAGAGTGGGGAGCGAAAGAGGCGGAGAGTGACGGAGG